CTAGGACGTCTCATCGAGGAATTCATTGAAGTCTATCAACATAAGGGGTCTGTGATAAATCCTTTTTAAATATTTTGTCACCACGGATCATGTATAAATAGACTCTGCTAATTCATTTCCCTGAGTTCCACATGAGCCACCTGACCCTTTCTCAGTTTTACATTATTCAACACTCTCAGCATTCAGTATGAACCATCTTGATTTTATTTGGCTAAATCTGCGACATCAAACAGCTTTGAAACGACGAAGACTTACTTAGAGCAGCTATGTAAAAATAAAAAATAATCAAAATTTAGACGTTGGCCATCATTGCTCGTAACAGGGATTTCATATGTCATGAATTTTCCTGTACTTGTAGATAATCAGGGCATGAATTTCACAAGCAGTGCATATCAAGAAGTAAACTCATGAACTACAAGGTTAAGGCATTTGTGAACTTTAGTTTGAATGGAGCTAGATACCGATCTAAATAACGATAACAGCTTAGGTTGATGAGTCTTTTTGAAAATGAAAATATTATATAGAGGAAGAGAATTCTACAAACATCCAAATTCTCTGACCACTCATCTCCTGAGATGGCGGTTTCAGCTCTCTACTAAGTTATTGACCACACACAAAAGGCAAGTTTGCACCCTAGACTGAGGTATAAGCAAATAAAATAAGGCGTATTTATCAGTTTCTTTGCTAATATCAGTAGCCGCATATGAGCTAGGTTCGTAAATGAAACGTTCGGAAGGACCTCATGAAGGTTTCCCGATGGGTTTTAAGCTGAGGGAATGTCTGTCAGTTCCTCCTAGATTTCCTGAAATTCCATTCACAATTTATTTCTCGGTTATCGGAAGTAGTGATTTAAAGGCCTCCTCAAGCCAAACGCCAAATGCATTCGCAAAGGAAACGTGGAACAGATGTTATTTTCTTATAGTTCCGTAATTCCATCCATCTTAGACAAAGAACCGACAAGCACGCAGTTCACTCATCGTAATGACTAAATAGCCCAAATATCACGACTGCTGGCACTGCTATAAAAGATGAAAACTGGTGCGTCGGCTTCAAAACGCAAGATTGGTTACGATCGGAACCTAAGTAGGAGGCTGCATAATTTGGTTGAAAACTTCATTACAGTCTTTCCTTTCACATGTTCCGCCTTTCTCTATTAAAAAGGTAATAGAGTACGTATGCACGCTGGAACGCACAAACAAAAACAGCACCTAGGTCCAAGAAAATTTCAGACATCTGTCGAAATAGGTGTAACTTTGGTTGACTTCTTGATTGACTCTAGAAGAAAACATCAGTCGTTTGGATTTATATTCAGACCCATATTTAGAGAAATTTAACAACTACGACGAACTACCGAATACTTCCTTTTCAATGGTTCTATGCCAAATAACGCCACCCAAATTAGACCGTATAAAATCCATTGCATAACCCTGTTACGTGAAGTTGCCATTTTGGTTGGACCCATAAAACTATAGCAATTTAAAAAGTATTTGCGAAGACGATAGAACTCGCAACACAGACACACGATTGGCCCGAATTTGAGGATTTAAAACATCATCAGAAGCTAAAAAGTACCACACATGAACGAATCCTTTTACAGAGCCAGCAATTGCTGGACAAAATTTGGAAAACCAACGAAGGGTAAGCAAAGAAAGGGTATTAAAAATCAATCTTTAATCCGGATGGAGAACGAACAAGAACGGGAACTCGGGAATCTCTTAATTTAAAGCACAAAAATGTTACGCCACAAGTTCGAGGGGATAATGGCTGCGACCTATGTTAGAAATTACCCATTAGCAAAAACAATTTCGTGGTTGTAATCTAACAGGAGCTTCACAACAACAGAGCCCCGACTCATCACATAATACAACGTTGTAATAAGTCATTGATTTGACGAAGACAGATTCGACCAAACACTCAAATATTTGGTCGTGGGCCATTGAGTACTTTTTGATATCACAATATACCAAAACGGCCAAATAATTTGAGCAGCTATGGCGGAATCAAACACTTGAATACATGTACACTGAAGGTTAGAAAGGGTAAATCCTTCGAGCAATGCTCATGATCACTACAAAACCCACTCCAGAAAATAAAATTAATTTGGTTACAATTTATTACAATAAACTTTAATACACAAACAATGTCACTGAAAGTATCAAGACTTCTTGATATGATAAATGCGTCATGTAACGTATAAGGGAGTATGCCAATAGTTCAACCTGGTTTGGGTGTTGAGATAGAAACGGCATCTAATTTAGTCTTTTTAGATACCTGTTCATCATCCGCCTTAGATGCATCTGCAACAGGTCTCTTTTTCTTGATCAGATGACTAATATCATCGACGGGAAGAGTTTTCTCTTGAACGTTTTCTACTGACGGGACATCAGTACCAGTTTGCTGCATGGATTCGGCATTCTCCTTTTGGCGCTCGCCCACTTCAGCAATTAGCCCACTCACCTCCTTTAATTCTACTTCTAACCGATGGAGCTCACACTTGTCACTATCAGACTCCCTATTGTGGACATCAAGCAGAGCCAAAAGTTTTGACTTATGATTCTCGAGGTGTTGAAGGGCTTGGATAAATGACGCATCCGTTAATTTGAAGTTATTTTCCAGCGAATATGTAACTGCAAGTTGAAAATGAGTTTCAGCGATGAGGCGTTCATTCTCCGGAGCATACTTTTTGCGCAATTCGAGACACTCCTAAGAGTCATGAAATCCAATCACACAAAAAGACCGATTACCAACAAATCAGCTGTAGCTTGTTTGTGATCCTCAATCTCGCGACCAATTTCAGCTAACTTTTCAAGACAGTCAGCCACTTTAAGTTGGTTATCCGCATCTTTATGCCTCATAAAAAGCGTCTTGGCGACTTCTACCACTTCCCAAGCTAATTGAAGCGTTGAAACATCGTCACTTTCATCAGCTTCACTGCCTTCTTGCTTTGGCTAGAAAAAAACTCGGTTAAAATTAAGACCTCACATCAACTGAATCTTCAGCATTGTTACTTGAGTGATCTACAGACGTTTCCGATCTTCCGACTTCATGGGGAGGACTACCGTCCACTTCAAATATGCAGTCTGGTGCTGAAGGCGTTTGACGAGGTGGGCCCCGAGAATGTGGCGGTTGCGTTCATCTTGAAAGGGTTGCCGCGAGAGGCATACAAGCGCCATATTAGGCTGTTGAACCGCCCACGTGGTGATGTGGAGAAGGCTCTATCGGAGGACCCTGAGTTAAACGGTGATGCTCCATTCTCCCTGCCGGCGCTGACTCGACCTGCTCCTCACAGGAACCATCCGCAACGAAGGGCGTCCCATGGACCAAATTTCAGGCTGACCGGCGGTTCCGCATCGGCTAACTCTCGTGATGGACCCGGTCTCGGTAGGTTCTTTGGTGCGTATGTTCCATGCCCTCCCATTCATGCGTCATGTGCTGGAATTAGGCCCTTCATATCTTTTGGTTTATTTGGTAGGTTACTGTACTTCCTAGTAGATACGGATGATCTCTAGATGGTGCTGTCAATTCGTGTTAGGGTCGCGAACGGAACCGTGATGCGAAGTAGGGTTGCGTAGATATTCCACTCTATATCGGGTAGTCTGTACCAGCATACATTGTATTTGTACCAGGACATGGTGTACGACGGTATATTGGGATCCGTTTTCCTCGACAGGTACGCGGGCGAGTACAGTCGACCGAAACTTTGCTTACGCTTAGGGCTTCATAAAGTACCAATAGTGTTCAGACAGTAATGGGATCATATCGGAGATCGCGGCTCAAACACACCCGACTTCAGATGAGCTAGGCCGACTGGTGAGCGCACAATCAAACGGCGAGAGGCCAACCTTATTCAGCTTCGCAGGTTGGTCCAATAGTATGAGGTGCCAGTAGGCTTTGTGTAGACTATCGGAAACTCAATGAAGTCACAGATCCCATTCAGCGGATGGATGTCACGCTAGATGCCTCAGGAAGGTCAACATTTTTCCTTACTTTGGATCTTTGGTGAAGTAACACTTGTAATTTGTAGTCCCGACTACAGTCCAGGTCAAGTGTTCACCGTTCATTTTAACAAGCTCAAACTCTATTTATTGTCTAAAGAGGGAGACGATGACGAGCCCCTTATGTTCAGGGAACCATCCCCGGTAGACAACATAGTTGAGATATCTGCAGTGGTAGTCAATGGAAAGCTGGGGTCAGCTTAGGTCGTAGGGGGAGGACAGTGTAGTGGCATAGCGGACAGCCGCTATCTTGGTGCTCCGCCATTTGTCGGTGGGTTAAGAGCACGGCATGGTGGCGGCGTCATTTGTCGGTGGGTACGAATTCCGGCGTCGTGGTGTCACGTGAGCATTGAATGGCGCACCGGGGCTTGAGAGTCCATCCACTCGCGAGTTTTCCATCTCCATTGCAGTGCCTAGGAACGGACCAGCGGGAGAACTTGAAGACCAAGTCGCGGCTATGTGAAGACCCTTTTTTCTATAGGAGTGACCACAATGTGACTGATTCTAGTCTCCATCAAATAACTCCATATTGTCATGTTCTCGTTTTATTCATACCATTGAACTGAAACGACACTGCCTTTTCGCATGGGAAACATTCGAGTATTTGGTTAGTTTATCATGAGGATTTCTTTAAACAATGACAAACATCGGTACATAGTTTCCTCTTAACCGGCCTTAAGTTGCATGGAATTAATGTGTTCTATGTTTAGATGCTGGATTATTTAACTGATTTCATAAATTTCTAAGTGGACTCATATGTGGGTTTGCATCTGAGGCGGTAATTATTTTATAACCTGGATAAATTTGATTGTGAGACAAAACAGTAAATGAACCTCGATGACTAAGTTTAAGGTTAATGGCTGAAAGAAAGCTACTGTTCGTTTGCCACTCAAGTTGCATTACGTCTGACTACATTGAAAGTGTGCTATGAGATGTTTAAGGAGAACAACGATATGTATTATTGAATTAGGAGCATGCAATTCGTACATGAGTCGATGATATTAGAAGGCTAATCAAGGATTGTCGGAATGCTAGAAATAAGGTTATATTGTGTTCGCGACAAACGGAACTGGAATCAACCTCTGGGATCCCGATAAAAGCCGCTCAAATTTCCTAGTAACCTTGGCGAGCCAAAGGTAAACTAGTAGAAGGCAGGAATCCTCAACTAGAACTCCAATGTTCAAAACATCTTGCCTGGTTGAAACTACATAAGTTACCACGAGCCTTTCCTCATTGTTTTTTAATAAAAATTTGAATTGTCAAGCAACATTCGAAACAGTTAAATAAAAATAAATGAAACAATTTACAGTAAAATAAGTAACAGCTTACTTCAGCCGGCCATACTGACTGACTTTTAGTTAACTATATTCCTTAAGTAAACACTTCAGATTAAAGCCTGTCAACCAAAATTTAATACTTTTCACTAGTGTGGTCATAGGTCGTGAATTATAGTTAGAAGCAGACAGGGAAACCGCCTTGTTGTCTACATACAATAATTACCTCGTATTAAGGCACAACTTCACTTATCTTCATATTGGCTGTCAACTTCCCATATTCTAGATCCTTTTTTTAATTTTCTGTTCGAATTTGCACACGAAGCCACCCAGGCCATTTTATAGAATACCAGAGCCTTGGTATGCAGTTTTATTGACTAACCACAGCCGCCCGTCAAGTGCCGTCCATCCAGGTCCATAATACAGGCCACGTTATTCATCATATAGTGCTTGTTGTTAACCCATGTCTAGGTGACTGCTAATATTCAAAGAAAACCATTTAAACACATAAGGACTGACGATTGGCTGAGCTCAGCGTGATCTAACATACCTGAGCCTTAGTACGGCTATATGGTACTTATGTGCTGATGTGTCATCTTGGGCCAATTGCCTTAACAAAGCCTTAGATTTTGAGGTTTTTCTACTTTGCAGCATAATTCACACTCATCACTCATATTTCTCTTCTATTTGCCCAATCGAGCTCTTTAGCCTGGATCCGGTCCATTGGATTTTGCTTAAATCATAAGTAAATCTAAGTGATCCGACCTGTCCTTTAATTCAACGCCCAAAGTCAACCCCTACTCACAAAATTTCAATTTGCCGACTTTTGATTCTCTACGAAATCGTTAATGTGAAGTAGTTTCACTTTCAGCGCGTGCAGGAGTTTGAAATGAAAAGGCTTTCTCACTCACCCTTAACAGGAATAAAGGGCTTATCAGTTATAAAGACGTACAGCATGCTTCTTTTCGTAGATCGATGGCTGCGTTCGAAATGGGCAATATGATACTAAAACCGTGATGTTTCTGGGTAAGTGAAGAGAACATAACTGATTCGTTGGACTGATTTCAACATCAAGAATTACCACTCCTCTAGTTGATGGAAAGTTTGACTGGGATACCTCGAGTGGAACAACGCCTTCCACCACTCCTATCCAGTGTGCGAACGCAGCGCACACATTATTTGCACTGGCAATGAGATGAGGTTACAAGCGTCTTAAAAATCCGAAAATACTAATTAGATTAACAGTTCTGTTTCCTACTGATAATCTGTCAGTATTTTTATTCGAACGTCAAGTTTGCACATGGTTTGTTATCTCACTTACGTCCATGTGGACTGGTCCGAACATTACAGTATTTCCATCTCGTCTTAGAGATTTCAAAAACAGTTATTACACCACACACAAAACGGCAGCCTCATAGTCATCGACACAGAGACGAAGTCGTTAAACGTACACAACCTCTGAGATCATATGAGCACCGATTCGCAGTAAGTAACCGAGTAACAAAATTTAGTTATAGGAAATTGTGTATTGCTAAAAAAACAGAATATCAACAGGTCGGTCATTGGAGACTACACAGGCAGATCGGGTAAAAAATTTATCGCATGAAATTAGAACGGGTTAAAACACCCAGACTGAGCCATTTACCAACGTTTGATTTACCTAACTATAATTCTAATTCTGAAAAACGATCCAGACGACGGTTCAGTTAAGGAGCCTTGAAAATTCTGATATGAATAAGCAACATGAAAGACCCCTTCCAGAGTGAAAAACCTGTTGCTGTATGGTTGATAAACCATACACAGAAAATGATAACTACAGGTCCTTGGGGATTACACTTCCTGAAGTATGGCGTCCAGCATATTAACCTCATGGTAGACAAATCCAACAGCTGCAACAGCCAGAGAAATACAGAGGAAAGTTTGTTGTGATGTGAGATAGAGAAGAATCCCAAACAGGAGTAAAATAAAAACAAGTTTAGCAAACTCAATGAGCAGACGTTTCGCCCAGAGGTGGTCTGATTTATTGTGTGATGGTTGGCTGACCCCCCTTCTTGGGGATACAACTGGAATACACATGTCCTGTTTTAGGCGATATCCACCTTCGCACAAACAAACATAAGATCCTGGTTTGTTAACGCACCGTTTATGCGGTCCTGAACATATTCCTGGTGTCGAGCACTCGTCAATATCTATGCATTTACCGCTTTGTAGTGTGTAACCAGGAAAACATGATTGGCACATTGATGTGTTCGTGCACAAAGAACATCCATCAGGACACGGAAGACAGTAATATGAGCCTTCATCGTTAACGCAATAAGTACCCCACTTACAAGGGGAACTACCATTTGAACATTCATCAACGTCGGCGCAAATAATTCCATCGTCTGTTTTGACGGCTTGATAACCTTTACTACAGGAAACGCAAGAGGATGGAGTCACATCCGAGCAACCTCCGGCACAGGCAGGATGACATGGAGTGCATTGAACAATACCATCGATAGAGTCAGATTGGAAGTGGGTTAAATGATCACATTGGCCGCATGATTTTCCAGCATACCCCTGTTTGCATTGACACACTCCTGTGCCAGATCGAGTACCATTTCCATCACAGTAACCGTTTTCAACAAAACATGGACCACAGTCACTGCAATCAGCTCCAAACTTATTCCACGGACAGCAGAACTTCAATGTCTCGATACAGAGGGCACGAGTGATGTCATTCACATTGGACTGACCTGTTCTCAATTTATCTGACCAGAACACTTCGACAAAGCCTTCGATGTCCGTGAAAAATTGAGCTTCCTTTTCTGTCAGTAATTTGGACGTTTGTTCGATAGATTCAAGGAGGTGAAGATCGCTGAAAGCATACTGACCAATGTACTTCTCTTCCCAGTCGGTATTGCCACCACCGAGGCTTCGCTCACTGTCAACTTCGTAAAAAGTAATACGAAATTTTTCCAGAACGTTCTGGCACAAATTACAATTGTTATCTGAACATGTTGTTAGACATATTAGTGAGAGGAACTCAATTGCAAATGGAATCATGACAGATTCCAAAAATGGGGGCCTGCATAAATACATATATATAAATATTTTTTTCTGAATAAAAAGACTTTATCCTTCTGAAAAGCAACGTGGACAACCAGAATGTTCCGTGTTCACAACTTTCAAAGCTATTTACTGTTAGACAATTATGTGGAGGCAGATTATTGTTCAATCATAAAATTTAATTGTTCATAGTGTAAGGAAGGAAGTAGAATAATAGAAACGTTGGACGTATGAGTGGAATCGTTCGTCGTTATATTAATCTTAGCGCAAAAGCTCTAGTGTTGTGGTGTGGTGTGGCGGCGGATCAAGGCGCGGACATATTGGACCACCTGGCCGCAGCCAATCCTGTGTCTCTCTGCGTTCCAGTGGCATGCGAGGAAGATAAGCAGCCAACCAGAGA